AATAATGTACACAAGCACACAAACATGCATATATCCTGAAAAACAAAATAAACAGTACTTCTGCACTGTTGTCACAGTACTTCTGCGCTGTTGTCACCAGTGTATTATGATGTTTCCTTCCATAACTGCATATTTATGGGTGAATATCTTGGAGAAAGGGACTACCACATCTTGAATGAATATAAAATATCCATCATATTGCAGCTGTTACAATTAACAAATAAGAAATGACCTTGCAGGGTGTAAGGATGTGTGTATCTATACAAAACTATAGACACACATTTTCAAAAATGTATTTAAAGTGTAAAAATCATCCAGTGACATCAACTGATATTTCTCTCTCTCATTCCTAATAAAGTAATAGCATTACTCAAGAAAAACATAAAATATGTGAGAATCTGGATTTTGTCAATGAAAAGATGCACAAATATTTAACTCTGAGGGAGTCAGGGAGACTTACATCTCAGCAGATGCCCAAGCGCTTAAGTAAATCAGAATAAATCATCGCATTCCAGCCACCGTATTGTCCTCTTCGTCTATACAAAGGGAAACCTACAATCAAAACAGACCAAGCTCTTTTCTGCATCATGCGTTGTTGGGATTTTCATTGTGTTGACAAGACTGTTGGGTTAGAGTATGGCTCTGTTGTTCTCGCTGCTGTCATCTACACAACCCGTCATCAGCTTGTGTTGGCATTTTGTACTGACTTGTGCTATTTGATGGGGAGACAGGAATAAGGAAGGGAAAATACTCTCCCGCTCTTTGCTGTGACTACCTTTTTCAGTATCACATAGCCTAACTTTTGTTCATTCTAGGCTTGGGAAACAAAGCAAAAGCTCACTTCACACAAAGGAGTATGTTGCGTTGAGTATGAACCAGTCAGCTAGAGGGAAAAGGATTGAGCCCCAAAAGTAAGCTAGCAAAAATGAACATAGTCTTTTGTTATTCCTTTCCCTCAGACCACTTGGCGATAATCATAGAACAGAACAGAATAGAATCATAGAATAGTTTGGGTTGGAAGGGACCTTTAACTGTCGTCTAGTCCAACCCCCCTGCAATGAGCAGGGACATCTTCCACTAGATCAGGTTATATATAATCTCCTGAGGTGATTCGGTAGCTGAAGCGATTCAGTATATGGCAGTACTGGAGCCCAGCTATTTCACCCAAATGTGATCTGCTGCACAAACCATATCTCTTCCTCACCCACCTTTTTCCTCTCAAACAATCATATTTGTTGAAATCAACATGAAGGTGAAAGATCAGAGGGTAAAACTCTGTCATGAATAAAGAAGAAGAAATTGAATAGAGTTGGATGGAAGAGAAGCCCTGAAGAAGGGTTTGTGTGCCTGAAAGCTTCCCTTCTTTCTTTCTTTTTTTTTTTCCCCAAATCTATCAGTTGCAATATAAAAGATATTCCCCCTTCATCTAAATCTTGTCTTGCTTGTGTCTTTAGAACTCTATAGCTGTAAGAGCACAACTATCACCATTTACGGTCATCTCTAACACAGTAACTTATGGAAACAGATGATGTCAGACCAGATGATGTAATCACTTCCCTGTGGGAATAAATGGTTGTCCTAAAAAGAGTCTTTTTAACATTCACAGGCCCATTTCACGTGGTACTCAGAGCACGAAATTGCTGAGGCAATCTGATGGATGATCCTACCAGTTATCTTACCTTCTTCCTGCTCTCCTATTCTTTTTCCTAGCCTTGCAGTGGTGTGGGTAACTAGTCAGGGAGCAATGGCCACAGTTTTCCCTACTTTTATGCACGCTGGTGGGCACATTGCTTTGCCGTGGCTATGTGTGGGGCTCTTCATCTGATGAGCTGATGGGGTCTTACCTATCCTGGCACCAGATGCTAGTCTGTGAAGATTTCTAAAGCAAGAAAAAGCTGCTAAGAGAAATAGGGATCTCCAGGTTGAACTGCTAAACTCATGAAAGGCATTATTTCAATTCTATTTTTGAGGGCATTTTCTTCTGCTTCTTCAGCTTGTGTCTGTTAGTATCCCACCTCTCAAATACCCTGATATGACAAGACCAGCTCAACAGTTGAACAAGGATTGACTTTTTCAACAACACCTACAGTGGCATTGGGTTGACACGAAAGAAAAGCTGGTTGTTGCCCTTGCTGTTTAGTGTGACTTAAAACATACCTTATCTTCTCCGCATTGAGCTGCACTTCACAAAATCATTTGTCCACTCTAATGCATGATCAGAATATGGGGGAAGGAATACAGTAAAGCATGTGTGTTTGGCGAGAAACCTAACCCTTCGTCTTGCAGTGTGGTTGCACTTATCCTTTCCTTTCTCTTTCTGGCAGCCCTCCCTTTGTTTACTTCCATGACTTTTTCTGTTTACCATCTGGTCTAAAGGCCAGGATTTCATCCATCTCCTCTCCAAGGTGGTGTTTGTGGTAGGAGGTCTGTGCCTTCAAAACTGCACACAGTTTGTGACAAAGACATAGCTTCGCCTAGAAAGCACCACACCGCTCTCTGTTGCTGTGTCAATGAATAATTAATATAGTGAAATAATTATATGCAACAGATTTTACCTTCTTGTAATTTGCAACTTGTTCTCCATGTTACTGGAGAGCAAATGACTTAGACTTGTTGTTTTCTTTTACTTTTAACACATACCTGGCTTACCTGGAATTGCATTGTTTAAGATCATATTGCATAGGCATGGTATTTTTAAACATTCTAGACTGTAAACAACCTTCTTCTAAATAGTAATGAGAAGTGTTCCAGTAAATTCTGGTTAGGGTAGGAGCAGCTGCAGGGTAACAGTTTTTTGGATTAAAGGAACAATTATTTATCTGGCATAAATGGTGCACATACTGGCTTAACCTGGCAAGAAGATAAATTTTAATATGACACTGATTTCAGTACAGTCTCACTCATTATAAATTTTACAGACTTATTGAAGTAAATAAATATGTACACACTGCTACTGTTTTCTTGACACGTATATATGTACACGTGTGTATATGTATTGTGTGGCAGGAGACGCCAGACAAACAAATCTACTCAGCGTTAACACTCTTCACAAATGTACCTGACAGACCAGAAGTTTGAAAATGTTGATTGAAAATATTTATAGGTTTCTGTGCAGCCCTGCCTCAGATATGAAAAAAAAAATAACCAAAACAAACCCAAACACCAAAACCCAGAAACATTTCAGGCACGTGGCATCACATTTCTGTATGTGAGCACGTAAGCTCACGAACTGTAGCTTTGAGCTGTGCAAAAATGTTCATAAGTGCCCTTGATGTGTCTATATGTTTGGTGATACATGATTTGTCTCTACATTCTGTCTGAGAAGTGGACGCTAATATCTATCCTGTAGCATAATTAGAAAAGTCATAAAATATCCTGCTGTACTGAGTCAGGATCTCACCCATCTGGGATTTATACCAAGAGATGTTCTTTTCTGGTTTTGCTGTCAGCACAAATGTTTAAATATACCTTCAAGAGCTGAAATATTTGGAAAGAAATTCTGTTTGCCTTATGTAAGCAAGCAATAATCTGCCTTTAATGAAGTTCCATCCTTCAGTTATATTCCTCTGTCTCTGCTAAAACTGGAACATACATAGTCTTCTTAATTTTAATGAGGATTACGTGTGGAAGAAGATAAAGTAAAGGTGTTAGGAACTTGTCTACAGTGAGCTTTTTTTTTTTTTTTATCCTATCCTATCCTATCCTATCCTATCCTATCCTATCCTATCCTATCCTTTCATATCCTATTCACATCACAGAATTTAGATTACAAACTAAAATTTTTAAGCATAATAAGTGAGCTCTTGCAGTGCAAAAAGATTAGGGTGTTCACAGGAAAGAAGAAATTATCATGGTAGTTTAAAAATACAGTATCTTTCCTTTAAACATGAATGATGAGCATAGATTCATTCTGCTGTAAGAAAGTCTTTATATCATTGTCCTCACAGAAACCATCTGAACTCCTTCTAGTAGTGCACTGAATTATATGATATTTTATATCACTGTCATATGCAGCTCATTCTTTTTTCTCATCTTTCCCCCAGGGAAGACTTGCGCATGCAGTGGTAAGATTTATTTCTTGCACAGAATTTTTTATTGTAGTTAGGTTGGAGAAGGCAGGTCAAAGAAAAGTGTTTTGCACTTGGTGATAAAATATGTGTTAGTCCTTAAGATTTTTTTCTTCCCTGGGAGTTTGTACTACCCTTTTGGATCCACTGCAGAGAAAGTTTTCTCTCTTGCTCTCTCACATATTAACTTTAAGTTAAAAGCTTGATTTTGCCTGAGGAGTTATTGATCACAGTCTTCATTGAAAGATTTGGTGATCATTCAGCAGTTTTAGACCCAGGCCAAGTAATTGCCACTTTCAAGAAATAAACAATTCCAGAACTAACCTGAGATAAACTGATGTAGCTCAATAGATTTCAATCATTAACATCAGCTGAGGACTTGACCTAACTTTAGAAGGAGTATATAAGAGTTCAAAGGCATGGAAAGCCATTCTGGCTGCAAATCACTGCAAACCTATAGTGCTGTTCCATTTTTGTTATCCTAAACACTGCTATGAGAGTTAAAATGAACATTTCTCATTACAACCAATATCCTAAGGTTTTCACCAACTGCATTTTTAAAATCCTGAGTGATACCTGAATCTGATTCAATCTTAGGTTGTTAATCATTTTAGATACAAGACTCAAAAGACTGACAATATGTAGTTTTTACTGAGCATAAAATCAAATGAGGTAGCCATAATGATGTAATTTGACTGTAAAGCTTGTAAGATCTAATAGTTCACTGTTCCCAGACTGAAATTTCAATGTGTTCATCTTTCTCAAAGCAACAAAACCAAAAGCACTCCCCCCCAAAGTACTCCAAAAACCCAAACAAAAACAACAACAGAAACAACCACAAGTAAACAACAGAATTGTGCTTCATTATTTACTTTTCAAAACATGGAATATGAGGTTTCCTCACTCTAACTTTTTTTTTTTTTTTTTTTGTAGGTGGCACCTGTGTTGTTAACCCCACCGACCTGTTCTGCTCTGTTCCTGGTCGCTTATCTCTCCTCAGCTCCACTTCCAAGTACAAAGTGACCATTGCAGAGGTGAAGAGGCGCCTTTCACCACCAGAATGCCTCAATGCTTCCCTCTTAGGAGGTATTTTGAGAAGGTAAGTTGAAGGTGAGAATAACAAGTCCTAGGCAGTGCTGTAATTTCTGTAATTTTATTTTCTGCAAATAGGTTTTGTTCTCCTTCCCCACTTGGATAGGTGGTCACAGTTTGGGAAACCAGAAGGAGGTGGATTGGGAGTGAACACTGTTTCTAGGGAAAGTTTCAATACATGAGAAAAATGAAGATTGTGTTGACATTTTTCACAGAAATTTTACATTTTTCAGTGATCTAATTTTTTTTTTTTTTTTACCCCCTCAGTTCAGTTACTCATCAGAGATGGATAGGTGTTTCTTTGCCTTGCTATGAATAAAAGAGAAAAAAGACCTTCAGTGTGTGGAAAATTTCACCAGGGCTACAAATCTGACTCCTTGTTGAGAAACTATTTCAAAGTAAATTGTTCTACCAAGTGTAGTTACAGTCCTCACTCAACAAAAACCATGGAGGTGTAGGGATGCCTTTTTCTTCCTTTCTCCTTTGCATGTCTTTTGAGTACAGAAAAAACAGAATACGCTAGGTGTATTTTTTTCATTGTGTCATACTGGAGATGAAGCAAGTAATTAGGTACAATTTTGCCTCTGACCCTTCACTGACCAGAGTAGACACCTGCAGAGAGCAGTAGCAGAGAAGAGGAAAGTGGCAGATTGTGTCTCACATTGCAAGTGGAAAACAAGGAGGCAACTGTAATTCAGCCAGGCATATGTAAGTCGCAATGTCCCTGAGGCGTCAGCTTAGATGGCATAAGCTACTTGAATGCCCTTTGATCAAAACTAGCTGGAAAGTCATAGGCTATTTCACTGCTGTCACTGAAGGCCACACTGATCCCTGTAGTTATACTGAAAGTCATTTTAACCAACGTGAAATATTCTAAGATACGTAGTAGTCCAAGAGCGGTCTTGAGCCATCTTGCAGAGTAAGCACTACAGACTGTAAAATTGTTTCAGGGACATGAGCCCTATTTAACTGCCTCTGTAGGCATTGAAATCCAAAATCTACAGCCACAAAAATTTTCCTCTGTTACTGCTTCACCCTGGAGAGGCCTCCAGCTAATAGTCACAGAAATATTCACTTTATTCACCCAGGCTTCATCAATACCAGTGCAAGCTATTAAGAATGCAAGGGCATCAGCTTGAATGTGGGGGCTTATTTGTCCCTTCTGTTAAAGTGCTAGAATGATCCCCATAAGTTTTTGACCCAGATCAAGCATCACTCTTCCAAATCAACCCTGGGCATGGTTCAGGAGTTAGCAAAAGCCAGGGACTACTCCCAGACAGCAGCTTGGATGCACTAATTCTGTTTTACGAGGCAGAGAATGTTAATGAATAGATCTGGACAGGTTATACCGGTACGTGTCACAGCTAGAGAACAGACTCAAACACTTCGTAGATGACCAGCAGAGATGTAGCAAAACCAAATCGCATTCATGGTTTGCCTGAGACCTGGCAGGGTTGGTTTTGCATCCTGTCAGCAGTCACCATCTAGGTATTTCCCCAGGTAGTTTTTCTTCAGAATTAAGTGTTCTCAGAAGACATTTCCTGACATACAACATGGTCAAAATTGTGATATCTCTTAGTGCATAAAAATGACCATCCAAATGGTGGTATTCCAACCTTGGTTCCTTCCTCTACCTGAAGGAACATGATCCTGCACCTCAAAACATCTAGTCAGGCATGCTTAATACTCAGTGATTGGTTATTCTAAGCTGAGGGTCCCTCAGTCTCATTTGGGGCTAATTAAATATCTGTTGGACAAAAGTGAAGGTGTAACTGTACTGATGACTCTATTATCTAATGACCAGGTCATTCATTTGGGATGGGAGACATCTGGGTTCCAGTCACTGCTCTATTCAATGTTTAAGCATTTTAACATTAGTTATTCACTGCCAGCTGTCTGCTGCATTCATCTAAAAGACACAGGTTAAAATTCCCTCAGGCTGAGGAAGAAATTGAACCTATGTCTGCTGCATAAGTGGAAATGTCTCAAATGCTTCAAACTTTGAGATATTGCAGAAAAACAGGTGTGGGGTGCACCAGGAACCATTTTGTGGGAACAAAGTGATGTAGGCATTTGGGATATGGGCATAGATAACCAATGATGGCTGGGATTTTAGCTTCAGCATTTCCTATTGCCTTATCCTTCTTCCTTGTAAGTATTGGGCTTCGTAAGTACCCAGGTCTCTACATAAATTATAGAGGGATAGCTAGAACTGGGTTCCACATAGACATCCACATTTGCATAGTGATCTGGCTTCCTTTTGTAGTCAGGTGAGAGATGGGTAAAGTGCCCTCATTCTAGATACCTCTTTAATATCATTCTAGAAGTGCATGTTTCTCTTTCGATTGCCTTTGGAGCCTGAGGTGGCTAAATCAGATATAAGTGACTGCACTGTCAATATTTATATTCATTCATTGCAATCCCAGGCTCTGTGCCCAAATCAGGACCATGGGTTCCACTAGGTGGAAAGCTGTCTGACGATCTGATGCTGCTGTGACAGGCATTAAAATGTCTAACTCTGTCAAAGGACCAACATGAAAGACTCATACAGTGTGAGCAGGACATTAATACAGCTCTGAAAGATTTTCCATTGATGGCATTAGGGCAGGCATTTGTCAATAAGGTGTGTACAATTTCTAGACTTATATTAACATGGGAAAAAAGTGCAGAATAAAGACAAATTTCTCTCTCCTACTGTTCTCTCATGATAGAGCAAAATCCAAGAATGGAGGACGCTGCTTACGAGAAAAATTAGACAGACTGGGACTGAATTTGCCTGCAGGAAGAAGAAAAGCAGCAAATGTCACACTCTTGACTTCCTTGGTAGAAGGTAGGGTTTATAATATTGCAGTATAACAGAAACATAATTAAAATGTTTCCTTGTATACAACACTTTTCAGGCAAAGTGTTAAATATCATAATCTGTATTTTGTACAAAGAGGAGAACTGACTTGCCTAAAGCCACAGACAGAACGAGTGGCAAAATGGAAGTTCACTCTGAGATGTCGTGGCTCCCAGCAAGTGGTTTGGTCCTACAGTTTCCTCAGCATTGATCTGTGCTTTTCGTGCTGGGATCTGACTTACAAATCGATGATCCAAGTGTTCTTGTGAGAGAGATGAATGTCTTATATCAACTCTACAAGTAGGTTTGTTTATCCTCCTTTTTTTTAAAAACTTGTGAATTTCCTGGAGCTGATCCAAAAATGTGATGATTTTTTTTTCTCCCATGAGAAGGCATAATATTTAGACAAGCCTTTTCCCCCCACAGATAAATGAATGAAATCTGTTTTCAGATAAACTCTAGACAGGCCCAGGAGATACTTTCTTGGCCTTTATTTGTTGTTTAAATATCATTCACCAAATACTGCCAGGCTCTTCAAACCTTCAGCTGGGAGATGCAGGTTCAAACCCCTCAGGCAAAGGAAAGAAACTCTACCTGAATCTCTTCTATTCTGGGTGAATCCACTAAGTACTTGGTTTGTTGTCTGGCTGTGAGTAGCAGCTCTGGGAATTTCAGATCCCTCCTCCTTGACGTTGAGCGCACTTAGCTTATCCTAAAGGTCAACACCTTCTAGGATCATAACCTGAAAGTTCCATACAGATCGAGGCAAGTAGGCTGAGGTCTCAGCACATATTACCACAGAATCACGGTATTACAGAAAGGTTGAGGCTGGAAGGGACCTCTGGTGATCTTCTAGTCCAATCCTCCTGCTCAAAGCACGGTCAATTAGAAGAGGTTTCTTCAGGACCTCGTCTACTGAGGTTTTTATTATCTCAAAGGATGGAGACTCCACAAGGCAGAAATAGTGCTGAATCCACAACAGTGGAGGTTTTTCAGTATCTAAGAGGAGGGACTAAGCTTCTCAGGGGACATTGAGCACACAGAACTACAACAGGGCTGCTCTGAAATACAGGTGTGTCCGTATCACACCTGCTTGTAATAAAGAGAAAGCCATAATGGAGCTACAGTTTTAGAAAAGGGAATTTTCTCCCACAGGTTAGAGGAGTAAGGGCTGTTCCTACCCTCACAGTCCTTCATGCATCTTGGGTCTTAGGAGGGAAGAACAAACAGAGCAACGTGGCCAGCTACTTATTCATTGGAAGAGTTTGAGAGGAAGCCCTCTTTCAACTGCTGGCCTGGGATTGATGGCACAGTACTTTTACTGTAAATGGGAATTAGATTCCTTTTTCTCCCAGGGATGGAGCTCTGCTTGCCTCCCTGCCCTTTACTCAAAACCAATAGCAAACCTATTATCAAGCCTATGGTATTGCTTTTGCTCTTGGACTGCCTTACTGTGAGTTCTAAAGAAATACACTGAAGAGGCTGAGCTCACTTTGACACAGACCTGTTTGCCTGCACATGTTAATCATGAATTTTGTCTCCTGGAATTTTTGGGAAAGGCACCACCATGTGCGTTAACATTCCAACAGAAAACAAAATGAAGCTCATTTTCTGTCTATGTAACCAATCCTCAGTCAAACTTGGCAGTGCTTATTGAATTCTTTGTGGTATAAACTGTCCTCCCTTTGTACATGCAGCTGTTACTTCTAAGGGATACTAACTTGTAGCATGGTTTCTGCAAGGAAACCCATCCCTCAAAGGCTCCTGCAGCTGGAGGAGGCAGAAAACGAAAGACACAGGCTTATTCCAGGTTTTAGAGAAGAAAACAGGAGGAAAACAGCATTGGCTTTTTCGGTGTGATTTCAATACATAAATTGACATCATGATTTGTTAGTCTTATTAAATCCCTAAATATCAAGTGCACTGTGTGGACTTCTCATAATGACCCAGAATTGTGTCACTCTTGATTACTTTAGATGGTTCTAAGTTTATTATTACCAAAGATCCTCACAGTCTTCAATGTATCAAGGCCTTTAATATCTCTGTAAGGTAGGAATGTGCTCAACCTCTTGAACGCCTGTTTGAAGTAAGAAAAGGCAAAATTAGTTGTATTGTGATTAAGTATATCGACCAAAGCTGTCTCAAAAGTCTCTGGCAAGACTGAGACTTCTTTTCCTCTAAAATAGACTAAAATCATTGAGTTTTGGGGAGTACTGATAAGTTCAAGAGAGGAACTGCAGTGAATTTCTAGGCTGTGGTGATCATGTGAAGATCCAGACTTTATGAAAATTATCCTGTGGTCCTTGTTTCTGCAATTTGCATCCAAACAATATCCCCTTGTTTTCTGCAAACTTACTTCTTTTGGGGTTCAACATGGCTACTAGATGTTTACTGTTATTCTTGTTTTGGTCGGGGTGCATCTTGAGCGTCTTTGGTAGGGACTTCTGGGGCCCAAAGTAGGAATTGTTTGACAGATCGGTTCTGTTCTTTCCGTTGTCATCCACATAAATCAGCACAATGGGTGGGAAGACAGACTGGGAGAACGAACTCAGCATTGCAGGGTTCTCCCCAACAGTATGGGACATAGCTTTGTGCAACCCGTAGGTGAGGGATGCCCTCTAGTGCCTAGATTATATGAAGGGAAAGGTCATTTTTCTTACCAGCGCTAAAAGGAAAATTCCTACATCTTAGCTAATACAATAAAGGCTCCTCCATTGAATACTAGCATTACCAATGCTAAGACTTACTGCTGGCTCAAAGGAGTCATAAGCCTCCCCGGTGGGAGGAAGAAAGGATGTGAGAAGAGGGGAGATGTCCCTTCAGTTTGGACAGGTCACTTATAAGGCAGAGACATAGCATAAATGGGATTGTAGATGCAGATAAAAGCAATGCATGAATGATTTTAAAACCACCAGATTTTTTCCAATAACCAGTAAAGGCACTTACAAAAAATCTGGACTTTGTTGTCCTGTCAAACCTAATTAAGACACTAAATTTCCTAGACACAGAATTGATGGCATTCATCATTTGGGGACCAAAACTCTTGAGAAAAATAGGTCAGCAGTTACTTTTTCCACCCTGCTATCAACTGTCACACTTCTCCCCCACCAGCCTTTGTTTAAATATCCTTCCACTTGTTCCTCCTCCCTTCTCATCCTACAAATAGAAAAAAACTTTTCTTTCCCCCCCCCCTCCGCCTGTCCCTCCTCCCCCTGGGTAGCATTTTTGCTGGGTAGAGCATCCGGAGGAGGCAAAGCCGAGGAGAGAGTAGGAGGTTCAGATGCCGAGTGTCCCTCTCCTGGGACACAGCTTCTGCCTTCACTCTGCATAGGAGCATCTCTCACTCTTGCTAGACCCAGGAGACACGCACGCTGCTCCTTGCACCTGCCCACGGAAACCTGTCAAGGTACGCGGCTGGTCTCTCCACTGAGGTTTTCCAGAGCTGTCTCTGCCAATTCAGGTTCAGCAACTGTCCTTTTCCATCATGCAAAGCTCTCTGGTCAATTGTCAAATTATATAAGAAAGGCACCGCTGCCTATTGCTGCAAAGCCGTGAGCTGGATTTAAGGAGAAAGAGTCAATGATCCCCAACACCCATCTTTGTCTCTGCAGGAGGAAAGAGCAAGGGGTATTGCACATGGGAAACTTGAATTTAGATTGAAACAAGGCAACTGGCTATAAAAGCCAGGGATTTTAGAGTTTTCTGCCTTTAATATGACTCCTCCCTGATGTAAATTATAACTAGGCAGAAGGCAGCAAATCTAAGGTAAAAGAAAAGAGGTCAGTTCATTCACATTACCAACATTTCCACATTCTCCCCTAGAATAAATGTTTGTCTAAATTATGATGTAGAAAAAGAACACCTTTTTCTAAATTATGATGTAGAAAAAGAAAGAACATATTTTATGACATTTTCTACAAACTACTTTCCCCCACCAAGCAGACTTATTTCCTACTGTACAGTAATACAAGGGACCCCTATTCACTGAGATTAACAGAAATTAATACATATAGAAGTATATCACAATCGACTTCTAAATACCAAATCGTCATTTGGCCCAGGTTCAAAATGACATCTTTGCTCAACAATGAGATATGAGAAATCTTGTTCTGCATAGTGTTTTCATGTCCAGATTTGTATTTTTTTTTAGAATTTGATGTTGTAATTTAGAACGCCTACTCCTTATATCATATGGAAGTGTGTGCTTATATGAATAAATACGCATAGTTCTAATGTGCATCCATAGTATACATCAGCTTTCCATTTCCAGTAAATATATATTTTTAAAATATATTTAAAACATTTTAAAATTTATTATTTCACAAAACACAATAAGTACATTTGTATCTACATTTTTACCTATCTATATCCACAGGCAGATAAGCAATTTTGTTTCTTTTTGCTCGTGATTTTATCTCTTCATATGCCATTAGCATTTAATCACAATCACAGTCGTGGCTCCAGGTAAAATGGACAAGTTTTATACTTTTGTATAATTTTCTCAGATCATCGAAACAGTTTAGTATAATTTTATCAGCTCTAGTAAATAATATGCACTATCTTTGTAAAGATAAGTTTGAATGACAATTCATATTTTCATTCCTTTTTTTTTGACTTTAAGTGAAAACATAACAAATTTCAGTTTGTTATTGACCATATTAAATAAATGCCTACATTTCATCACATAAAGTTTTGCTCTCTTGAGGAAACCAAGGCTTTTCCAATGGCTAAATGTTTAAATTCTTTGCTGACTACATTCCTTGTATTGTTATTTGAGTCTGACTGGGACCAGGATAGAGTTGTCTGGAGAATGGTAATTCCACCCGATGACAGCTTCAATGGGTTTGACTTTTATCTTCTTTCCACGCTGGCATGAAAACAAACCTACCAAGTGTTTTAATGGAGTTTGGTTGAAAAGCAAAACCTGGTACTCCTCTGCAGTTGACTTACTCTTTGAGTCTTTAAATAAAGAAGAGTAAAAGCGTAGCTGAAATAGAAATTTTGAAGCAACTCTGCAGAAATTTAGCAGCCAGCGTTTAAATTTGTACCCTTTCTCATCCATGAAGAAGTCTGGGATAGACATTTTAAACACAAAACTGGCAGTCAGCTATATGCCTCTTCATTCTGACTCACTGTTAACATGCCACTAAAATCCATTTATATTCACTGAAGATTATTTTACTTTTCCAGAAGCTGTAAACTAAGTAGAAACCATTTCTCCTTTCAACTCAGAGATAGTGGTTGCTTGTTAACTTCTTATTCTTTTTAGGCATACTGGAAATCATGTTTAAAAATTCCAAATAATGCAGATGATTTTGAGTATAATCTTCAATTTTGGCATGTAAAATTGGTTACAGCTGTGAACGTTGCTGTTGACTGGTGTCAGCAAACAAATTCCCTGGGAGTAGTGCATGTATTTTACTGGTACCTGAATCCAGTTAGGTCAGATAAAAACACAACAAAGTATTTGCATATAGAAACAAAAGGTATTTTTCTGGTAAAAACTCCAATGATAGAAGGGAAGACAAAAAACTCTGAAAAGGTGGAGAATCGATTCTGGACTAGAGGTCAGTGCATGTGGCTTCTTATGCCTCATACAGTCCCTGGCACAGGACCGCTGCTCCCATGGAAGTTTTCATCTTCCTTGCCTTGGCCAGGTCTGTGCAGAGCACAGAGACTCGGTCTTACTGGGGATGGGATTCATCTCATCATCTTTATCATAGTTGTATCTGTTCTCTCATGTCGCACTGTAGTCAATAGGGAGAAATCAGTACTTCTGGGTGATTAACAATTAAATTAAATTAATAATTAAACATTTGATTAGGTTGCTCAGAAAAGCTGTGGAATCTCCACAGCTAGAAATATTCAAGACTAGGCTTGAAAAGTCCATGAATAAGCTAATCTAAGGCCATGCTTTCAACAGAAGGTGATCTCCTGAATTGCCTTCTAACCCAGACTTTTCTATAATTCCTCTGATCCACTTTTGCCTTCGACTTTAGTACGGGATGATACATGCTTCAAGTGCTAGCTTGTCTCCATTGACTTGAAAGTACTACGTCAGATGTCAATATTGACATTTAATCAGAGGAATTCCACTGCACATGTTCTCACAGTGAAGTGCTACAGGTCCTGCATCCCTCCTAACCGTTCACCTGGAGCATCAGCCTGGTCTCCAAAAGGCCAGGATCCAATGCCGCCTCTCATGATGGCAATCAAATACACAATTCTGAGAAAAAGAAAAATAAAACACCCACAACACCCTAACCCAAAAACTATTCTGGAGCACATGTCTCAGTCACTCATGCAGATGTGCTTCCACATACACTTCTGGTAGCTGACCTATTTCTACCTTCTACGATGAGATGAGAGCACGTGTCATCTGGAAGTGCCTATTTCCCACCAGGGAAAGACTAACTTAGGCACAGATGTTCACACTCCAGGCAGCTATGTTTGATCAGATAAATCCCACACCAAGGTTGTCAGAGTCACAGCAAGCAGACCAGAGTGTTCAGTAAACCCTAAAATAAATTCCTGAGTTCTCTAAGCTAGTGGAGAGGGACAGGTTCTTCCAGAGGTATTTGGCACCCACCGTGGAGTTGGGTTATGGTGTCCAGTCTCTGTAGTGAGGTAGAGATGTGCTCAGTGTCTGCCTCTGTCACAGACTTCTCACAAAGCCTAGTCAAGCCACGTACTCCCTTTGCCTTGATTTACTGACCTATAAAAGAGTAACTGTGATCTTCATTGTCATCCCTTTTTGTTTTGTCTGGTCAATTTTGACTGCAGTCTTTTTGGAAACAGGATTGTTTCTTGTGCTCTACTTTGGTGTCTGCTTATCTTTAGTGTGGGGCACTTGTATTATGCCTGCTGTCTTAACCCCTAAGCAAATATTCTGAAATATATGTTATCCACACAGGTCTCTCCTGGGGTAGAAGGCTATTCTTCCTTTAGAGAAGGAGAAGTGAAGCACCAAAGGCTGAATCTCAGCTCTTCAGAGTGATATTTTCCTACCTTCCACTAATTTCCATGCCTTATATATCAGTGATGAACCCAGCTTATAAAACATAAGCAGCTGCCCAGTACTCCCTGGTGGCAAGGGAGGGTGCTAAACCCAACTGTCTTGACCAGTATTTTCTCACGAGAGGAATAACCTCCCTATCTTCTGGCTGGTACTATCTGATGACTAAGCATGAGCAGGCCAAATGGGCTGAAATCTGTAACCGAGATCCGGAATGAATGTCTACAGAAGTAATTTGTTATTGTATTATTATTTTTTTAAGAGTAGAAGAAATTCTGTAAGCATAATAATGAATAATAGTAATAACCCTAAAACCTAACTGACCCATTTTGTTTGCCCACAGGGGAAGCGTTACATTTGGCCAGAGATTTCGGCTACACCTGTGAAACAGAGTTCCCTGCCAAGGCGGTAGGAGAGCACATTGCCAGACAGCACATGGAACAGAAAGAGCAGACAGCGAGGAAAAAGATGATCCTAGCGACAAAGTAAGAAGGGAGGGGAAACTAAAAAAGAAATCTGTCTGTCACTTCTCCGTTTTGGATCTGGGGGCTGGGGGAGGGAGGAGTGGGAGTATGGAGCTGGGATTGCGGTGACTGCTATCACAACAGTACTCACTGACAGCAAGTGAGAGCAATCCTCTTTAGAGATGCTGTAAGAGGAACCTTATTTACTGCAGTGAGGTTTTAGTGGCTGTGCTCTCATTGCCTGCAGTTAAGGGCGGCACGTACATCTCAGATGCTTTGGTTTAGATGAGAGGAGGCGATATTATTACATGGTAAGATCTATAGGATAGAGACTAGCTTTGTCTCCTGTTTGCATGTGAGCAGGAGATCTAAGCTTCTACTGAAGTACTAGTTATTGTGAGATAATTATCGTTAGTCTGCTGAGGGAGAGCTGGTTTGCAGAGGGACAGATCCTCTCTGGATGGAAATTGCAGCAGTTCCCCTGAAGTCAAAGACACTGGAACAATGTACACCAGCGGGGGAGCTTTGCTAAAGCTATTAAAGACACACGGAGACACCTGACTTTGCTCTAAACAAGCCACTCGCCTCCCTGGAGCAGTAACATCACATCAGGATAACATTTCATCTAGGTTAATTAGCTTTGATGAGGGAGGAATTAGCCTTCATGAGCCATGGGAAACAGGAATAAATAGTCTACATGGAACAACGTAGACCGATGCTAGGTGTGTGGTATGCCTGCATGGGGTAGCCTTGAACATATTCATACTCTTCCTGCGCTTACTACAGTGTTACACAGTGAGGCTGCAGGAGAGCTGAGGCCAGAAAGCCAAGCTCTCAAACCACTATGCCAGTACTGGAAGTGTTTGGAAATCATCCAGGCTGGGATATATCCAACAGAGAGGGATCCCCCTGTAGTAGGGGAGAAGGCTGACCAGCAACAGGATTGTCCTTTGTATCCCAATGGCCTTCTGCTTTGTCTATTTGTGGGGAACAGGATTCCTGGCCTTGGTGTCCCTCTTCTATCCAGAGCTCTTTGCCCTGAAGGTGACCCAGAGATGACATGCATTGAAACATCTCAGGCTTGTGAATCCCATGAATATACCTTGTGATCCTTCCCTGGGGTGATAAGCAGAGCATGTGTGGCTCAGGGGGCATTTGCTGATTGTGAAGGTGATGAGACACTTCCCTCATCATGCTCCTAAGTCCCTTGTAGATTAAAAGGAATAAAGTAAGTGAAATATGATCTTATTCTTACCTATATCCACATTTGTTTTAAGGGTCCAAGGGGTTTCAGAGATGTGAGAATAAACCAGCTGGCAAGAAGCAGCTCCTCTCTGCAAGTCATATCTCCCTATTGCTGTATAGCCCATTAACAATCTGCCCCCCTAACTATGTAAGAGCTGATTGCAGTGCTGGGCAGCACAATCTAAACAAGAGTTAAGACTGCAAGCTGCCCCAGCTGGAGGATTTGCCCCATCTATAACACATTATAACTCAATTATAACGATACAAATCTTCCCCCTTCTTTTCTTGCTCTAGTGAGAGATCATATCACCATGGGTTGTAATAATCAGTGGGTAACTGTTATGTCCTACCTCCATAGAATGTCCCACTGAAGGACACATAAGAGTCTTCCTACCTTTTCTCATCACTCCATACCTACTTTCTCACCCTTATTTACTACTGAGATGGGGAGTCATGGACATGCATTACTCCTAACCCCCACGAACTTTGGGCTTGTAGGCTGTTAATGTTGCACTTGTAAGGAACAAAATTACTTTTCTCCCCCTTCCATCAGTTACAAACACCAGAAAATTGATCAGGGAGATCAGTCAATAATACAAAGATAGGCCATATCCTAGTGCAGTCAGAGTGCTTGTAACAAGGACAGATGGGTCAATGTGTGTGCTACTACTGCCCTCTCCTGCCTGGAAGGAGAACAATGATTCACATACGAGTCCTGGCCAGGTACTACAGGAGACACAGGTCCATGACATCGTAATATTAGCATGGTATTTCCCAGCCATGCTTCCATGTGTCTAACAGTAGGTACTCTAGTCATTTGTCAGGATTTTCAATTATTCACTAGGCATATATAAGCTCTAGGTTTGTGATTTCAGTAATTTCACAACTGCCCTACCTCATGCGCTTGTGAGTTAGGACACCAGAAAAAGTGGTGGATTGTTATGCTGCCACCAAAAACAACACTGAAATTCCAGGGTGGTAAAATCACTCATGGCAAGCTTTGCCTATGGAAAGAACTGGAGTGCCATTGCCTGTGTGTGTTGCCACTGTCCGCTCTGCAACAGAGCCAGAAGTCCATAGAGGTGTGCCTTTGGCAGAACTGGTGAGATCTTCCACATGTGGGGTCTTGAGGAAAAATAAGGGGAAAGAACAAAATTATTTGCACAATTCCTAGTATATAGGTGAAATTCCATTCTGGATTCAGACATCCAACTTCAGTGGCTTGATTCAGTTGCCCAAATGTAGGCATCTGCTGTCATTTGAGAGGAATTGGCTTATCCAACGTGGTTACCAGCTGCTGCTCCAGAAGCACACAGGTCTCTTTTTGTTACTGTGTTGTATCTGCCAGTTATTATGGAAGTCTTGGGTACCACATATCTATATGTGGGTAACTAAATGGAGCCCTTAACGTCTATAATGCCGAAGTCTCCAGTGTCCAGTAGGAACTCCCAGTGTTATCGAGGACATCTATACCTTGTAATCAAGCAATCCACTCACCCTGGATGGAAATAGTAATATGTTGATAGTAATACAGTGAATGAAATCAGGACTATTTTCTGTCATGGAACAAACCATATTCATTGTGTTAAGCTACCTGATCTTCCAAAACTACCTCTTTGAAATGGTCTGTCAAATTTGCTAATTCAGGACCTGCCTAGGACAGTACTAGTTGATGGAACAAGATGATGCCATGGCCTGTTTAACAACCTGATGGTCTAGACAATGAAGAATCAGAGCTTTACCTAACAATTATCATGGGAAGAAGAGATGATTGGGCTGTGTGGCCAGTATACAGCACTGAACACAAGTGACAGCGAGGGCAGGATGGGAGTGAAACAAGCTTTGGTTAAGAGCTGAAAGGATAAGAGAGGGGTAAACAACAGGAGAAGCCAGTCTCCTATGATTCTCTTGTTTTGCACTCACCTCTTTTGACTGAGCAGATGATTGTCTGGGCACTCAAGAGCAAGATGTTTCAAAAAAAAGACTGAATTGTCATAGTTCTGGCCAAAGGGTGCTGATACTGGCCTGTTAACCCTAGACTCTTTAAAAAGGCTTCAGGACATGTCGATGCAAACCACACAGAAATTTAAAACAAAACAAAACAAAACACAAAAAACCAAACCCTTGTACCTGGCTTTAAAGGGTCTTTAAGCATAGGTTAGTTCACCTTGCAAAGGTGTGAGAGACCTTGAATGGCTTTACAACAGGGGACAGAACCTCATCAGGTTGCAGCTAGGACAGATGCAGAACTGCTGAAGGCCACATCAATAATTCCACTTGATGGAGAGGCATGCTGTCCTATGGGAAACATCACAGCGTATCGCAGCACAAGGCTTTCCACATGAGACAGAGGGACAGACACACACACATTTACACAGACCAAAACAGAATAGTGTGAATAATAACCTTTTTGTGGGATTGCTTAAAGCCAGCACAGGATAATCAACCTCTGAGCCATGACATTATGTGCTCAATTTGCTAGTTTTCTGAAAAGTAGCTCTGAGACTGAATGCACAGGACCTGCTGATCACCTCCCTGATATCTGGTCTTTGGGTGCCTGGTAACTCTGCCACACTTGGAATATATTATACTCATGGGCGCACACAGTTGTCCCACTCTTGTACTCATCACAAGGCATTTGCTTTGGCCACTGCTGGGGGTAGGATCATGGACTGGATGGGCTCTTGTTCTGATCCAGTACAGAATTTATCTTTTCCTGATCATATACTGGAACATCTGACCATCTATCACAAATCATTAGGTACGTCCCTTGCAGGAGTGATTAATCTGTGGCCCCTAAGACAGCATAACTATTTTTCTTTGCTTTTTCAAAGTCACAGTCCAACTCAGCAAATATCTGTCAGCCCCTCTCCCTGTCACTACCCCAGGTGATGTTTTATTGGTAGTGGAGGCTCTGAGACACCACTTTGCCTAGAAATCCCCTTGAAAAAAGTAGGTTACTGCCTTTTACAGGTTTTCATGTATAATAAAAAAGTTTTTTCTTTTCTTTCAATCTGCCAACATTCAGTAAAGACTTTTGACATGTGAAGATAGAAGGGAACTTAATTGCACACTTGGTTCTGACACTTTCCTTTGTCAAAATATAAAAACTTTTAAGATGAACTTTTTCAACAGGTAGAAAGTAGAGGTTGGAGGAAGGAGAGAAGAGCGGTGCTGACAGGGCCGACTGGGGATAGTAGATTGTTTAGAAGCCAAAATGACTGACTGTTTTCAGTTGTTGAAAGGAACTGTTTTTCCTCTAAGGACCTGATTCATTAAAACTGTATGCTGCATTTACATACATTTCTGCTGAATACATCTTTTTGCCTGAAAGGCTAAGACAATGCTGTCTTTTCAAGCCGTCCGTGTCTAGGTCCATACAGATGACAAGAGTTTACAGAAATCAGACTTGGATGAAGTCCAGCAGCACAGCAGGACATAGTTTTCTACATCTTCTCTCCTCTTACTCAAGAGAGAGCTGTGGTATCCAAAGTCTATGTCCACAGTTTGCAGAACAGTGATATAATGAAGGGTAAAAACAGGTTGGTATAGTTTCCTTGCTATGGCCATGGAGGACCTTCTAAAGACCAAAAAGCTGAGTTTACCCACTTATTTTCCATTATTCCTCATCCCAAAGGACAAGAGTTGCAAGGTGATAACGAAGAACTCGAACTTTATCTAGGACCAGATGTGCAAAGAGTTTTCTAACAGAAATCATGGACCACAGAGATGCTCTTTGGCATTAGAAACTGGCCCCAGGCCCAGTGATTGCATCTATGCTAACAAAGTAAACCATGCACGCACTGAGTCACCAGATTGCAATGTCCATATTATTAAACTGTTAGAATGGCTTCTTGAACTCTCCCAAATATCTTCTGAGCATGTTCTGGGAGATGGCCCATACCAGGGTCCATTCTCAGGAAGCCACCCTGTAGAGGAGACTAGAGGAGCATAACTATAGGGACCTTATCAGATGGTGACAATTTGCATGAAGGTATGAGAATGACCCCTGGCACTGTATATTTTACTAGGTGGCAGTTTACTAAGTTACATGTAGTCACTGTGACCAGTATTAGGTCAATCCAACTGAGTGTCAGGCTACTATCAGGCAACCCAACTGAGTATCCTGATCGTATGGTGGTCATCATGCCCTCCTGACCCCACGTTAAGTGCCTATATTTCCAATACAGTCAACGGGGAATGATATGCTTATTTGGAGAAGCTCTAAGTGAGAGATCCAGACACCTCTCCTTTTTTAATTAACTATATCATAAACCAATTGAAAGTAAGTGGTATCTCTATTCATCCATGGTCCAGATAGTAGTTTTCTGAGGACATGCACTACATGGAGTTCATTCGGTCTCTCTTTTTAAAAGTATATTGTAGAATATTCCTGGACTAATTTGCAAACTGGCCCAATACAACAATATCACTAGAATGAAAAGGCCTTATTTTCAGGGCTCTCCCTGTGTTAGGTCCTATATAGAGGTATCCCAAGGGATATTTTTAATGCCCAGTTGCTGAGGCATCCTGAGAAGCCTGAGGGAAGGCCTGCGAGAGAGAAGGAAGACAGCAAGACCAACCATCCTTTCCAAAGATGTTGGGCTACTATGCTGGTGGGACACCAGGCAAGACAGAGCCTGAGATCCCATTGCAAGGTGCCAAACTGGGGTCCCAGGTCCTACCTACTGAAAGCATGCGTTGCTCAGGAAACCATCACTGAGAAAAAGTGGAGCTGATGGGATTTGCCTCACTTGCCTGTGTGTTGTGTAGGCACTGAGAGCTGCGTGAGTCACTGAGCTCCTCCTACAGTCACCAGAGAGAAAGAGGCACTGTTAGGATGCAAGTCCTCTGGACTGCTGCAGACATCTACCTTAGGCTGCCTGATACGTGCCAGAAATGTAAAACAATTTAATGAATGTTTCAATAAGAAATTTAAATACTGCTGCTGGAATGAATTCTTACTCTGGGCAGACCTGTGGGAGAGGTCTCAGCTGAGGATCCATCAATTCTTCTGCCCCAGACTCTACAAAGAAGCAGAAGATGGACACAAATGGAAACTAAGAGAGCAAAGGTAGTATTTTCTTTCACAACTCCTAGTGCTCCATTTGTCTTAAGAGTTGGGGGTCAAGAAGGCAAGGCCAAAATGGCCAGGACTTCTACTTGCAGATAAACCAGTGCACACAAGCGAATGTACAAGCAGTGGTGTATTTACACAAACACAGGCATGTTCTAATGCTAGTTCATAATTTTCTTTAACTATAACCCTTGCTTCTAACATAGGTGAGCTAAGCCAGAATTAACACTGCTAAACTGGGCTCAATTAAGGAGAGAAATCACATTTTAAAATGTCAATGTTAATATGGTTCCAGAGAGGAACTATTCCTGTTCAAGAGATTCCGTATGTTGCTGGCTCTGAGATTTTGGGGCAAAGAAGCAAGAGGGGGACTCATTTGCCTTTAATTTCTTTAACAATGCCTCTGCCAAACTCTTCTGTTAGGAATGAGATCACTCAGGATAAGGTGACAGTGTTCTGGGGATCAGCTTTATGGAAAGGATTACACCTGTGTTATTTAAGGATTTCTGCTTTCCTTTTAGACAAATATGTAAAGAATTCCAAGACCTTCTAAGTCAAGACAGATCACCCCTTGGATCCTCTCGACCGACTCCAATATTAGACCTCGACATCCAGAGACATTTAACACATTTCAGGTATGATTTTGAATGAGGAACAATTAACTAACATCCATAATTTTGATAAAGACTACATATGATGTTATAATGGTATTTGTTCCCTTACCTAGAAGACTGTAATGTCTATAAACCCTCTGTTATCTGTGTCTATTAAAAGTGTGTGTTTGCCCAGCAATGTAGTTCAGGCTGGTTACATTCACCCTGCTTCTAGGACCACAGTCTGAGTTTGAGTAAGTCATTTTCCACATCTGCTGTCCAAATCTCCCCATCTGGCCCAAAAGCTGTCTTGCTCTAGATGTGAGCCAAATCACAAGCCAGCCAATGAAGTGGATGGTCCAGAAATGAAGAAACTCAAGTTCAGAGCCAAAATGACAAAATAGATCAATCAAAATAGCAATAAGAGGAGGAACAGGCTGCGTCCTTACTAATTAACTAAATAGTTCCAGGGGCTCCTCTATGCTACTGAGACCATTTGACATCATCTTACCATGGCCATACTATTAAGTCTTTGGCCTCCAAAGCAGACTGGCCTCAAAGTACACTACCTACTGGAACAGTCTTACTGCACTAATTCCTGAACAACACACTGGAAAGGTCTGGGAGAATGCAAGCTGGCTCAGACTAAAAAGCCAGAGACTGCTAATATATTTAGACTCAGTTCCTGTGCCCATGCCCTAACAATATTTAATTTACTGGTGCAGACAGCCAAAGAAGCTGTTATGAAGACAAGGACCCATACTATATGCACGCCAAGTCCAAACTTCATCAGAATTTTATCCAAGTTATGGATAAAAGTGCATAGATGGTTTGGGATCAGAAAGATTTATTAGCCCAGGAGTTGCTGTGCAATTTCACGTTTTTGCTTTAGGCTATGTGCTAGATACAGTCAAGAGTGAGATGGGAACTTCCAGAGGGCCACTTTGAAATAGTGGGGTCATCTAAGATATTTATCAAAGATAGGTGTGATGAAACATCCTAGATGTGCTCCCATCTTTGCTCAGACCACAGAGGGGAATACACGACTAACTGAGGCTACAGATTTTTTTTTTTTTTAGCCATTAACTGATACCTGAAAAAATCAACATGTAAAGAACTGTTCCAGAGAGCTGTTTACAGACCATAGCACCAAGCAGGTTCGTTAGGCCTATAAAGCCTTAGAACGATGTTGCATATTCTTGAGCACAGCCAGCTGAGCCACTCTTCATCCACTGGCTGGACAGAAAACTTTTGTGCCCAAACATCCCAACATCTTTTAGTTGTTAAGATTCTGATAGAGCATGAGGCACCCAGCAGCCAGGTGGTGTGAAACCTAATGTTTAGTCCCTCAGACTTTGAATAGAATCCAAAATACCCACCATCCCACTTCTTCCATCTACCTGTTAGGGGGTGGGGAGAGGCAAGGATAATGCCTGGTCCACAAATGCACACATTCCTGTTTATTCTTACACACACCCGTGTGCATCCTATGGGTACACGAACACACCTAGACAACCCCGCTTCTCTTCTCAGGCAGTGATGTGCACAGACATACACATACATTTACGTCTCTGTGTACTTCCCCTTATACACACACACTCCAACATACCTAACCACACCTGCACACCGAGGGAGATGTACTTATTTATATGGGATACTCACGGAGGGATTTTAATGGGCTACCTAAGCTTATGGAAAAATAGGTAATTCCCCATTACATGCACACAAAGTAAACATGATATAATGTAGCTAATCTCCAAGGATTCCTGTGTTTAAAGAAGAAATAGAAGTCAGGATAAAATGCTGAAGACTTCAGCTACAAAAGCTGTCAACTGGTACAGCTTCCACACTTCTTTCTCTGCCGCACTTCAGTAGGTTGGAGTACAAAGCTTCTGTAGGCAGCTCCTGGATCATTCAGTACTTTCTTTCGTGCCTGCTGTGGGCAATAAGTGTCGGACTGAAGATGGGCACCTAGAAGAGCACAGGTCTTGATCCTACACAGATGCTTCCCTGGGCTTAAATCAGACAGGTTCTGATTGTGCTTGGGGAATGATGAGTACTGCCAGACCCAGAGGCTGAGCTGAGACCATATTCCTTTTCCATCTACTGTAGAGAAGTTGAGGTCAGATCCAGCTTCTGACCCAGACTTCTAACTCTACTCATCTACATGTAGGTGCCTTGGCTCCAGGCAGGTGTATATCTTCTGCTATAGTCTCTAGGGATCTCATCTGTATAGCCTGTGAAATCTGCATTACAATTAAGCAGGCCTAACATAGACATCTACATCAGTGTGACTTGAATTTCTCCCTAAACTCCTTTGACTGAACAGTCTGGTCTAGATCTCCAGCTAAATGGGAGCTTAGCCAACCAGTACAAACTAGACACTTATATTGTAAATAGCTAAATGTAATGTAGGCCAAAAAAATCACTATTCCCATCCCCCAAATCTGGCAGCCTCCACAGCTAGGTCATCTGAACCCCTCCTACCGCTATTTGTCTTCCTGAGATTAAATTTCACAGAAGGCACTTAAGTCTGTCTCAGATGCCAGAGAAGGTGCGAGAATGCAATTAGCCATGTTTTCCAGGAGCATTAACTATTTTCTGAGTCAAGTTTTCAACACAGACTCTGACCGATCACTTGGTTCCTTTGTCTTTCTCTGAGGGATGAACCTCAGACTGAACCAACCTTGGTCACAGGAGATTTGCACCTGATCAGTTGGGGATGAGAGAAGAGGAAGAAATTCTTGGTACCCCAACACACAGAGAAAGTCCTTGTAACCCAGCAACAACATGCTCACTGCTGTCTGAGGCATAGCACAGCCTCCCACTGGTCACAAGCATAAATAGCTGCTTGTCATTTATACATCAGTCAGGAATCATTTCATAAAAAGATGTTGAAAGCATCTGCCTAACAAAGCACATGTCTAACACTAAGAATTCAAATATTCAAAGTACCTTGGCCTCCACATCCCTGACCATAGGCCCCCACTTAAGCTCAGATTTCCAAAAGAGCAGGTTGTCCTTATTTTTTACAGTGACAATTATCATGTATCTATACCTATAGCTAAAGAGGTCTGCAACTGTATGCCAGAGAAGAATTTGAACCTTCATACCATAGTCATTGTCAAATACTCTGATGACATCTATGATAGTCAGAGTCTAAAACTGGACTGTCTTAATAAGTGGCTGGTCCTGATTATACATATGAAGTTAATGTTATTTATGACCAAAATGCCCAAGAGCTGTTGGCGATCTACAAATAGGTCTTGCAGAGGAGACATAAATCTGAAGTAGTGACTCCATGCAGTCATCACAAATTTTATAACATGCTTTTTCAATAGTGAAATTTTCATTTTTATTTCTATCTGTATTCCAGAACTGTGGTCTTCCTCACAATAAATTCTCTGTCTTTGTGCTGTATAAATGTCTAGATTGGGATGGAGCCAAAATATTATGTTTGGCAAGGACAAGCCATAGCCTTTCACTGGAATCTCTGACAAGGTTTTGTGAATGGTTTTAGCATAAATATAGCATGGTTTTCAAGTGTTATCCAATATGAGCTGATTTTTGATCATGGTAAATTTCATACAGTTTCATACAGATTTAATATAACAAGAAGAGGTTCAGAAATTCTGCCTTGTAAACCATAATAAAGGCAGCAAAGAAACCAGAAGATGAAAAGTTGGTATTTTATACATATATGTATATGCTTATGCCATATGATGTCAGAAAGTCAAAGAGATTTTTTTATGACCAGAAAAATTCAGAGGAATCACACAGTTGTCTGTTATTAGAATAAATTCTAAGATAATGAAAGACTTTTTGAAGAGCTATAATATCTGATACCTACAGCAGAATCCAGCCTCTACTACCTTGGGGTAAAAGGGAGTTTTCTTTAGGAATAAATTACCCTACAGCTGGTAAGTGTAATGTGCTCCACTTGCTCATGATGTTACTTGCTCAACGTTAATAATTAAGACCAGGGTTCACAGACCGACACAGGTCAGATCAAAGCAGTGTTTCCCATTTCCTCTGTTTTAAATGTTCAAGCCCATATTTCTCTCTGAACCTTTTCCACTGAGTCCCGATTCATCAAGATCTGTAAACATGTGTCCAACCCAAGGTACAGGATAGTCCCCATGAAGGGATCAGAATCGCTGGGTTCACTCAGACTCCAAACTCAAAGCTCATATAAAGCATAAAACAGGGGAAATCTTCAAAGGAGTTGCAGTGAGCCTGAAAACTGCTGAGTTTTGCACAACTTTACCAGCTACGCAAAAACCAGAGGCTCTTCTACACCTCTGGTACAATCACGTTTATGCAGCTGCTCCCTGAGATGTCCATCTGACCTGAATACAGAAAACTCAATGCTGTATGAAGAATGTTTTCCCAGTATTGTTTGACCATGAACAGACAATTCTGTAGACCCTTACATTCATAGCAGCAACTATTGTGCACTACCTGAGCCAGGGTAATATTATGTATGCTTTATTCAAGGTTTCTCCCTTTTCAATACATTTTGGAGTATCTTACTGCAGAGAAGCTATATTGATATTAGTAAATAAAAGTAGTGCCAGGGCACAGGCATGTGTTGACTGCCTGTGCTGCTTTTTTGCAGAATTCCTGGGGTTTTTTAGCCTGGTCTAACTAGCACTGTCCCAAACTATTCCTGGGCAGAGTGGTGCATATATACCACTAATATCTATGTAGCTTGAGAATTCAGGGAAGAACCAGTCCTTATTACAGCCCAGTTAGGTACCTTACCTGTGCTATAAATAATGTACTGAGATTTAGAAAAGTCCAACCTTGTCAGAGCTGGATCACAAGCAACTGATCTCTTTGGTGAAGTGTTGGAGCAGCTCAGATTTCTAAGCATATACATGCGCGTGGGTTCAAGAAGAGATGGTGTGTTGTTAGGCCTACCCAAGCTGTCTTTCAGCTCTTCTTTGATTCCGTCATGATAAATGCAGAGGAGCAAGTGGAATAATCCTGCGGGTTGTATCTTGCCTGAAAGCCACCACTTGAGCTACTCTGTCCCCAGT